AAATGAAAAGAAGAAATCAAAATCAGGTAAAAACTAAAATGATATTTATTGACAAGAGGAAGTTGCTTTGCCTACAAAAAATTATAGTGTTTTATAAAAAATAATTGGCAAAATCAAAATAACATTAATTATAATCGAAGCAGAGGAAATTGATCCATCACTTTTAGCCTTGACGACCAAACTTTCAAATGCAGCAAGTTCAAAATTGGAAGGTGAAATTTTGTCGCTAAAAAAAACGAAAATACAAATAATAATTTATTTAATAATTAAAATAATTGTGGAAAATTATATTGTCCCACACTGTGTAGTTAGTTATCTTACCCTATATTTCTGGCTGAACTAGCACTTGCTATTACAACCTCCAAATCCTCATTTAGTTGGGGAAACTTTTCCGTTATGTTTCCGTTTTGTGAGTTTTCACCTAAATTGAATAACACTGCGTAGACATCATGACCATCTAATCGTCTAGTAAAAGCAATAACGCTTTCAGTAACTGCTGCCAGACTTACTTCTCCAGTAACAAACGGTTCATTTTTTCTTAGAGCCACAACACTCTTATAAACATGATAGTGACTTTTTTTGTCTTCAGGGAATCGTTGGTCTAATAGATTACATGATAAATATTTACTGCTCACTGGCAACCATGTTTTGCTTCCATTATTAAAACCTTTAAATAAATAGTATACAAGAGTATTTCTAAAAATATGTGTGGTAAAGTGTTATAAACAATCAGGAACTCTATATTAGGAGACTTAGAAATCGAAAGCTTTTGTCAAGGAATAAATATCTATTGGAATTAGGAAGCTTCAGATTAGGAATATTAGAGACCAAGTGTTGGATTTTAGGGATTCGTGGAATTGAAAGATCAATTTTAAGTAACTAATAAATAACTGATATAAAGGTCTAAAATTCTTTTTTCCCCAAATGAATACGAATTTTATCACCAAGCATTGGTGCTTACCGGCATTGGTAGTGTTGTCCCATTGGTATGGCGTTCTTTGAAAATCTCTACTCGTGGAATTAAAGTCCAAGGGTGAACCATTGCACGCACTGGGATCTTGACCCTCATCCCATGATACTTCGCCATTTTCCATTCCAATTTCTTCCCCATTGTATGTAAGAACAGTACCAGGGAGTAATTGAGCAACTAAATTATAACCATCGACCCGATCAGTACCAAGTCGTGTTGCTATACGATGTTGGTCATGGTTACCAAGCTAATAAAAGATCAATTATTATGATACTAACTATTAGAGAGTGACCATCAAAAAACAATGTACAGGTAACACAGAAATTAAATTAATGTGAATGTGTTTTCTTTATAATTACGTATTTAAAAGTAGGGGTTGTACTTACCACCCAGTTTGCAACTTTTCCTTCTGGCATATTATTCAACCATTCTAAAATGACATTTACTAAATCTTGGGCCGATGTTGAAGTTGATAAGTCTGTGATAAATTTGAAGTTGAATGGAAAAGTCACTCCCTCATTAGTTTCATTTCCGTAAAACATCATGGTGAGGTTCGTTGATTCCCATGCTTCTGTCATTAGTATCCTAGAAATTATGTAGTTTGCTTTTATCAGACCAGCAAATATTTAAGGATAGTTTATTTTTAAAGAAAGTTTATAAAATGTCCAAACAATCGGTACACTAGCTTCCCAGTATAGGGAAGTTATTGTAACGAAACCACAAGTGGAAACTTATTTAATATTTCTTCTTTGTTTCAGAATAAGTAAATGAAGAGGTTCAAATGCTGAATATTCCACTAAGATAGATTAACGTGAGTAGTTCGCTTGATACATTGCTATATTTTTTTGTTATGCATATAGATATTAAGTACCGTCAATTCTTTGTCAAAAATTGATGAGGATTATTATTGCTTGAATTAAATTTGGGTGATTTAGAACTGTTGTCGGCTGTGCTTTTAGCACTTCACTTCAGACATCTCATTTAGGAAAATATTTGTCTGCATAATTGACACAGTAAATGTTTAAATTTTAAGGTAATAATGTACTAATCACAATGAATACCGAATGTAGATCATCCATTGTTTAGTTCCACCTTAAATATGTCTAAATTAGCGATTTTTAATTACAAGTTGCAATTAAATGGAGACATCATGGTTATAAAAAGTATGCCTAAAGAGTTCTTAATTAGACATTCTAATAGTCAGCTCATTCCGAAATAATATCATCAGCTGCATAGATTTCAGTTACAAGGCAAAAACTCATTTTTTTACCATTTATTACCGCTAATTGCTCTTAAAGCGCTTAACAATATCTGAAGAAATCTTACAAAACCCGAGCTCTGTGAAAGCTAAACGAAAAGCCCTTACAATATTTCACGTACCGAAAGTGTTTTTGGTCATGACCAATCGAGTGCGGTACAAACATATATATAAACTTCCATACACTAGAACACTATTTAGTGATTCTAGTTAATCTGATGTATGCATATTATTTTTACAGTTTAATGTTTTGAACTTTATATACGACTTTAACTGAATTTGAAAAATAAAGTGACAAATCAAAAATCTAAGAATAGTGAAGTTGTTTACTATATTTCCTACTTAAAACCACTTATAAAGTTTTAAGAATATTTCATTCGAAAGATAGTTTTATTATACACACGATAATGTTAATAGTAGACAAATATCATTTACGTATACAGGGTGTCCCAAGCAAGCGCGTTTCCTCAGTGACTGCTTTATAGTTGAGGATATCATGAAACGTTTCTTACAAAAGTGGTACCATATGAGTGTCTTCATATCCTAAAATTATTTTTGATTATACAGAGTGTCCCGTTTTTCATGGAAGCTATCTAACTTCATTTTTACAAATTTTTTCCACTTATATGGTACCACTTTTGTGAGGAACTTTTTTTGATATCTTCAACTATAAACCAGTTATTGAAGAATCCCGCTTGCTTGGGATACCCCGTATATATTATTGTTCATAGAAAACACTTACATTTTCTCACGATTATGAGTTTCACTGTAATTGTTAAGAAGAGTTCTCCATGCGTATACTTCCCAGTAAGTTTCGATTTGATTTTTTGAGTAAATGTGGTTCAAACAGTCGTAAATACTGACATTGTATGTGCCATACCCATTAGCCAAAGGTTCATTTATAAATCGTATATCTTCGTACATGTGACTTATGGCATCGACTCTGAAACCTGAAACTCCTCTGTCCATCCAGAATACCAACACGTCCTGCAATGAATAGTATTTGTATAGGACAGAATTCTGTACTTTCGGTAGACGTTCAAAATGTATTAATTATTGATTATTTGCTCCCGAAGAAAGTATGATGTTCATTAATTAAAGTGCCGGAAAAGATATATTTTAAAATATTACGTCGTCGTTTTTCATAAGTATAGTAAAAATAACTAAGAATATACTACTATAACAGTGTAGAAGCACTAAAATGCTAAAAATAATTTAGTATTTTCTATCAGTGAATTCAAAATTATTAATTAAATTTGAGGCGGTGCAAAACTAAATCCAAACAAGGAAGCAATTAAAAAAAATCAAAGGTAGCCAGTAAATCAGATATAGTTCAGTGAAAAAACGGAAGAAAGGTAAAAACATAAGCATAAACCGCATATTCAAAAATGCAGAAACAAAACTTGATATTAGAATTTACATTTAGTAGCATCGTGCTACAGATGGCGTTTACTACGCCATTTGTAGTATTTTCTAATACGCACTGTTAAGACAGCAGGTAAAAGTTGATCTGTGTTCTGTCGGAGCTGCCTGCGACGCGCTGATGAGATCCAAAAAGATCGAAATAGCGATCCGCGTCTGGCAGTTTCGGCAAAATACTGGCCACTTCGAATTATTTTAAAAGTTGATATTGTTTGAACTTGACTTGATTATTTTGTTTTCACTAAGAAAAATACAAGATTTTCGAAAGTCGGTTTTTGTCATAATCGTTTATATACTCATATAATTTTACCCTCATGGCTTGCACTACAGCTGGACTTCTGTAGTTTAAATCGGGTTGTTCTTTGGCAAACTGATGCAAATACCATTCTCCTCGAACTTCGCTGTATTCCCAAGCGGAATATTTGAATACGCTTATCTAAAACAGAATTGGAAACTAATTTCTTTATATTTAAACAACAACACTTTTATATACCCAATTGTTTGGTGGTACACCGTTTTCAGAAGAATTTTTCCATACATAGAAGTCCTCATATCCTTCAGTTTTATTTTCTGAATATTGAAACCATTTGTGTAGATTACTGGTATGATTGGGTACAAAATCCATTATGATCTTAATTCCAACGTCATTGGCCTTCTTTACCAACTCATCAAAATCATCTAATGTACCGAAGTCCGGGTGTATGTCCATGAAATCGCTGATGTCGTAGCCTGCGTCCACCATAGGCGAGGGGTAAATCGGGGAAAGCCATATCGCATTAACCCCCGTTTCTGATAAATAATCAAGTTTGCTTATTACTCCTTGAAGATCCCCGATGCCATCGTTGTTGCTGTCTTTAAATGATCGTGGATATATTTGGTAAACTACCGCGTGTTTTAACCAGTCATCATCTGCTGCTCTAGAGAATTTCAGAAACGATGCTATTACTATAAATAAAGCGAATTTGGTCCACATCGTGTTTAAATAAGTGCTACACTAGGTCTCTGAATAATTTGGTACGTGCTTCTCTGGTATGCTATCGGTAACTAAATATTGTCATGCTGATGATTTATCATAAGAACGGGTGTAATCCTATACAGAGATAATATTGTAATACAAAACCTAATTGTACATGTATTTATTAAAGTTCAACAATAAATGTTTTTTCTGTGTAATCCATCGACAAACAAATTAATCGCACACAATGTCAAAATTAAAACTAAAAATTGGAAAACAAATAAATTTCATGTAACATGTACTTAGGTAGATAATAAAGATAGCTTCTTATAAATGAAGTAGCCGTGTGTAATATGAGTTTTCTTCTCCCTTGTGGCTTTTATAAACGATATGATCAATAACGGATTCAAATAAAAAATCATTACCAAGATAATTGAACATCATCTACTTAAATTGATTGCATTAGACATATGCATGTACATTTATTAGACCGCCTTATCAGTTTAAGTTCAAACAACAATATGCAGTCAATATGTTACAAGTAAACAAATTTTATCGCTATGATCCAAATAAAATTGAACCAAGTTAAGTCAACACCTGTTCCAATATTCTGACCAGTTGTTGAACTTTGAGGAAGGGATGGTTCGAAACTTACCTTAAAATATAGATAGCTACAATTACAATAATTATTACAAAAATGAAATCATCCACGAAGCCCATTGCAAAACTAAAATCGCGAACGTGCTGGCAATGTGATGTAGAAATCAAGGACGTCGTGATTAAAATAGATAGTTTTGGGCAACAGTTGAACTGTAAATATTTTTTAAATAATTTAAATTATACTTATATGTATAATCTTAATTACTTCAAAAAAAGGAGAAATTGCTTTTAAAAATGTTATTTTTTTTCTAAGTAGGTAGTTTTTATTTCAATTTGTATATTTTTATAATATTANCTACTATTATAAATAACTTCAGCTTCAATTAAACTATGAAGTAAAGTAGTAAAAGAAATTAGTATTATTAGCACCCTCATAGTTGCATGTGGTCGACGAAGAGGCTAATGGATAACAATCAGTTGTTGAGCAATTTGCAGCTATTTATGTTATGCGAAACGTAAAAATATTAGATCATATCTCTCTACAGTACTTCACTACAAAAACAAATAATGCAAATGTACAAGCAATGATAAAAGACATCAATAAGAATGATAACGACAGCAACTTCAATTCGCTTTAAATTGATGGTTAGTTAATAGTGTGGTAGGCTGATGAATGTAACAGTTTGATTTTTAAAAATTTAATTCAAACTCAAGAGTAACACACATGATTGCAAACAATAATAATAATGGTAATAATTTTGGACTTAATAATAGAAGGTCTACATTTAAAGGTACCGTAGCAGAATAGAGTTGGTGTCAGATAAAATGGGCCTGCTTCCTAATTCCTAAAATATTTGTTTTTAATTTTAATCCTCATCCTTTTTCGAAATCTGAAGAATCTAAACTAGTTCAAATAAATAAAACAGTAGACACCGATCTTGACAATTTAATTTTTTTCTTTTTTTTTTTTGGAATGTAATCAGTTTATCTGTCTTACTTAATTAATTATTGTTTGTGCCTTTACTTTATCCTGATCTTAATGAACAAACCAATCTGCTTGATGACAAGCTGATAAAATTATTAATATCTAGGTACTTTTATTTGGCATATGTTTCTCTATATAATTGAATTGATTTTAATCATACGCATACAAAATGGTAATCAGTACCTAATGAAGTGGTCAAAACGATGCAATTTTAGTTAATTTGTTAATATGTAAACTAACCAACACAATTTTGCAATAATAGTGTGTATAAATTCTTTAACCTTCGCACAACACAATAAGTTTTATTAGAAGAACGTGCAATACATTTTTAATATAGATAAAAATTGTCATTAAAACGACAATTCTATTGTATTCATAATAGAAGAATAATAAAAAAAAATCATTTTGTCATGAAAAAAATCAAGGGCACCCACGAAATTTTCTAAATGTAAGTAGTAATACATCCTATAGTGTAAATTACTACTTTATACTTTATGCTCTAATGAACCAAATAAGGACGTAATTTCCTAAATTTGAAAGAAGCAAGTTTTAAAATATCATCATTACTGATTCACACTCGCAATACCTACTTCTAATACGTGGCTGTTTTATTACCTGGTATCACCTCCATTCTGTCGTTTGTAATTGTTCACAAGTTCTCTAAACTGATAAATCATATCAAGAGTTTCCGGTTGATCCATAGTATAAATATGATTAAGATAGCCGGCTTCATAAGGTTGGTAATTTTCGAAATCATCAGAGCGCGGTTCGTTTCTATAATCGGAATGTTCGAATAAATAGGGAACTGCGTCAATTCGGAAACCATCTACGCCCTTATCTAACCAAAAGGTGACTATATCCTTTTGAGAAAACCAAATATCATTAAATAAATAATTATTCTTGAATAGACTAAAAAGAAACTTACTTTCATTTCTTGTACAACTTTAGGGTTCCTGTAGTTTAAGTCAGGTTGAGCAACGGCAAATTGATGGTAATAATATTGATTCCTCTGGGCCACATATTCCCAGGCAGAATATTTGAATTGACTCAACTTTATAAAAATAGAAATATAATTACGAATTACTTGAAATTGTTAAAGTAATCATCTAATGGGGTAGTGACTACGCACTATTAAATTCGAAAAATTTTAAAATATTCAACCCCATCATAAACCGTCTTTAAATTCATTGGTTTGATTATTATCTACCACAGTATTAAACGTATTGAACTACCCATATAAAATTACTGAAACACTTGAATGCGCGCCTCACATTAATCGCTTTCTTAATTTTAATTTATTAATAAAATCGACTGTGGAATAGGACCACTATATGAAATACAGGAAAATTTCTTTATTTTTTTACATATCAGTATGTTCGTAGGCGTAGAAAAATAAATTATCGATTCTTGTAATTAAGTTTAAACAATTGACATGTATTTTGTGGCCATTTGACTTTATCATCGAATATGTCGGAAACTATACTACAATTTTCTATTCTATTAAATCTAAACGTTTCTTATTTGTGGCGTTATTTCCCTACGTATCTAATCTATTGTGCCTTCTTGTTTTGTAGCCTCGAATAATTAACTATCCCTTTACTACAATTAGGTGAACATCATGGAAATGTTTTTAACATAGTGATTATACGGCATATAATAAAATGTATTCCTTTTTTTTTGTAATCATGTCATTTATGCATAGGTATATGTATATGTAACAGAAAGTTTCAAATATTCCTTAACTATTACTAATCAAACACTTGTTAATTATGGAAATGCAAATAAAAAATTGGAAATATTTTGCTTACCCAATTATTGGGGGCTATTGTTGAATTATTATTGTAGCCGTTTTTCCAAATGTAATAGTCCTCGTATCCCTCAGTGTTATTTTGGGACAATTTAAACCACTCGTGCTGATCGCTGGTATGATTCGGAACAAAATCCAAAATAATTTTTATGCCAAGTTCATGGGCTGTCCTAATAAGCTGCTCAAAATCGCTCATAGTTCCGAATTTTTCATCTATATTTCTGTAATCACTAATATCGTAACCAGCGTCGATTCCAGGAGATTTGAAAATTGGCGAAAGCCATGTAGCCGTTATTCCAGCATTTACCAAATGTTGTAATTTACTACTAATTCCATTCAAATCACCCATCCCATCGCCGTCATTATCTTTGAACGATCGAGGATAAATCTGATAGAATGTTGCATGTTTCCACCAATCGTCATTAGCTGTAGAACTACTATTATAAATAACTTCAGCTTCAATTAAACTATGAAGTAAAGTAGTAAAAGAAATTAGTATTATTAGCACCCTCATAGTTGCATGTGGTCGACGAAGAGGCTAATGGATAACAATCAGTTGTTGAGCAATTTGCAGCTATTTATGTTATGCGAAACGAAATATTAGATCATATCTCTCTACAGTACTTCACTACAAAAACAAATAATGCAAATGTACAAGCAATGATAAAAGACATCAATAAGAATGATAACGACAGCAACTTCAATTCGCTTTAAATTGATGGTTAGTTAATAGTGTGGTAGGCTGATGAATGTAACAGTTTGATTTTTAAAAATTTAATTCAAACTCAAGAGTAACACACATGATTGCAAACAATAATCGTAAAGCATGGNGAAGTCCTCATATCCTTCAGTTTTATTTTCTGAATATTGAAACCATTTGTGTAGATTACTGGTATGATTGGGTACAAAATCCATTATGATCTTAATTCCAACGTCATTGGCCTTCTTTACCAACTCATCAAAATCATCTAATGTACCGAAGTCCGGGTGTATGTCCATGAAATCGCTGATGTCGTAGCCTGCGTCCACCATAGGCGAGGGGTAAATCGGGGAAAGCCATATCGCATTAACCCCCGTTTCTGATAAATAATCAAGTTTGCTTATTACTCCTTGAAGATCCCCGATGCCATCGTTGTTGCTGTCTTTAAATGATCGTGGATATATTTGGTAAACTACCGCGTGTTTTAACCAGTCATCATCTGCTGCTCTAGAGAATTTCAGAAACGATGCTATTACTATAAATAAAGCGAATTTGGTCCACATCGTGTTTAAATAAGTGCTACACTAGGTCTCTGAATAATTTGGTACGTGCTTCTCTGGTATGCTAACGGTAACTAAATATTGTCATGCTGATGATTTATCATAAGAACGGGTGTAATCCTATACAGAGATAATATTGTAATACAAAACCTAATTGTACATGTATTTATTAAAGTTCAACAATAAATGTTTTTTCTGTGTAATCCATCGACAAACAAATTAATCGCACACAATGTCAAAATTAAAACTAAAAATTGGAAAACAAATAAATTTCATGTAACATGTACTTAGGTAGATAATAAAGATAGCTTCTTATAAATGAAGTAGCCGTGTGTAATATGAGTTTTCTTCTCCCTTGTGGCTTTTATAAACGATATGATCAATAACGGATTCAAATAAAAAATCATTACCAAGATAATTGAACATCATCTACTTAAATTGATTGCATTAGACATATGCATGTACATTTATTAGACCGCCTTATCAGTTTAAGTTCAAACAACAATATGCAGTCAATATGTTACAAGTAAACAAATTTTATCGCTATGATCCAAATAAAATTGAACCAAGTTAAGTCAACACCTGTTCCAATATTCTGACCAGTTGTTGAACTTTGAGGAAGGGATGGTTCGAAACTTACCTTAAAATATAGATAGCTACAATTACAATAATTATTACAAAAATGAAATCATCCACGAAGCCCATTGCAAAACTAAAATCGCGAACGTGCTGGCAATGTGATGTAGAAATCAAGGACGTCGTGATTAAAATAGATAGTTTTGGGCAACAGTTGAACTGTAAATATTTTTTAAATAATTTAAATTATACTTATATGTATAATCTTAATTACTTCAAAAAAAGGAGAAATTGCTTTTAAAAATGTTATTTTTTTTCTAAGTTGGTAGTTTTTATTTCAATTTGTATATTTTTATAATATTATAGGCATCAACGCAAAAGAATCTACATATTTAAAGTCGTACATCTATTTATCCTCAAGTAAAGAACTTTTCTTATACAATCATATAGCATTTAATCACATCACTAGAAAAAGTTAAAACATGAAATTGATAAAACTTTTGACGAGAAGTCATAGCATTTCATAATAATTACAACACATTTTTTATTTAGTTACTGATACGAAATCGTATTTTATTATAAACAATTAAGACATTTCTAACATTACGTAAGACAACATTTGCTACAACAGTTGTCATCAAACTGATAATGCATTGGTTTGGGGAAGTTGCGGTATTCTTATCAGTTCTTATGTTTTCATTAAAGGTGTGCCAAACATTTTTATACAATGGGGTGCTTCACTTAGCACTAACTACCAAACATTTAAAAATTTTTATACTTAATAATTTTTACGGGTATATTTAGGTACCTATTATGGAGTAAGGAAGTACATCTATCAATAATTTAGAAACATAGATCGTGACAATTCTAATTTTTAAATTTCTTCTAATATTTCCTTTGATTCTCCATAAAAAGGTGGTACAATTAAACATTTATAATCTACCGCTTTAATTAAAATTTTATGATAAAAATCAAATATCACTTAAAATATTTTGACAGTTTTAAGAATTACGGTTTTCAATCATAGTTCTTATCTTGTTTTTAGAGACAATAAGTGGCTCGTTTATCGCTCTTATTTTTTCGTATCACTGTAAAATATTCACCTATGAAATGATTCGATTGTAAACAAACATAATT